GATGAGTGTTGCGATACAGTGTCAGAGCACCAGATGTCACTATGCACAAACGAGCTAAGGAAAGAAAGAGGCACAACAGGCTCAGAAGAGCCCGAGCCAGTCTAGCAAGGCTGCTTTTGTATTCAGCTCTTACCCTGAATGAATAAATTGAAGGGAGAAGTGACCCTGGATTAAATCTGCTCCAAATCCAGTATGAAAGTGTGGTATGAACAGGAGCAATTGTCTTTCTGTTGTTCATCAACGATGCTGTTTTTATTTTCCAGTTACCATTCAAAACACAAGAGCAAACTGAGGCACAAGGGATCTAGTCTTCATCCTTTCAAGTAAGTGAAGGCCTGTTCCTTTCCAAGAGGAAATGCAAAGACGTTAATGTATGTGGTTCACGCACACCAGCTACAAACTAAGCAAGGGTAGTGGTATTTCATTTATCCTGTCTTAAAAAGAATAAACACAGAGACTCATGGGCAAGGAACCAAGCCCATATGGAAATGCTTTTAATTTGAGATAAGGCTCCTGGTTTGAGAAATGGCGCATCGCAGATTCAGGCATGCCTATAAGCCCCTTTAGCTTCATTTTTTTTTCAGTGACATTGAATTTCAAAGAGTTATATCCGGAGACATTTGGAAGAGAAGCCATTTAACTAAGAAATACCAGTTATATCTTTCCCTCAAAGCAGCTTATTTTATTAGCTGCTTCATTTTTTTTAGGTGTGTTCAAGTATAATAAAATCTGCATGACCCTAATGTTCCATGTGTGCAGGAAAGCCCTACAGGAGAAAGACAGGCTGTGGCTGCTCCGAGAGCAAAGACGAAAGAAGAAACTGCGCAAACTGCTTAAGAGAATAAAAAATAACGACACTTGCAGCATGCCTGGGCTGACCTGCTTCACCCATGACAACCAGCACTGGCAAACAGCTCCCCTGTGGACACGTAAGGATACTTTAAACTAAGTAATAGGTGTGCGGGTAGAGGCGAGGCTGGGCGAGGATGCTGGGTTACTGGGAGTTATCAGTATCAGTAGTTACGTAGCCAAAGCTCCACAGCCTTCCTCATACTAAATAATCTCTCGTTCAGTGTTGGCATTATCCTTGTACAAAAGGCAAGGAAGTAAAAACCAAAAAAACCTGCAAATAAAAACCTACAGCTACTGTGTACGATACAATTATGTGTTTTGTCTCATATCTGGAATGTTTCCCAACCAGACAAGTATCACGATGCTGCTGAAGTTGGCCATGTCGTGTGGGTTAGCTACGCATAGAAGCAGCAGCTGATGCTGGAAGGCATTCTCTGCTTTAGAGCTCAGGAGTCAGAGAGAATAACTGTCTATGAATACAGTAATACCATAAAGAAATAAACAGTGCTTAACAGTAGCATGTAGCTTATGTCTTTATAACTCTTCAATTTGCAGTGGGCCCTTTCTGTGCCTGTACCAGCGCCAACAACAACACATACTGGTGTTTGAGGACAATCAACGAGACCCACAACTTCCTGTTTTGTGAATTTGCTACTGGATTTTTGGAGTATTTTGATCTCAATACCGATCCATATCAGGTACCTGATCATAGCACAGCTCTAGAAATACATAACTGATCCTTACTGATGATAAATTGAAATAGTGCCATATTGGTACAGGGTGTAGATGAAGCCTAAATTGTTGAAGGTAGTATGATTTGGCTTCTTTCCTGTTACAAACAAGCCATATGTATTCCATAGATGAAAGTTACTAAACTACAGAGCAACAGTTACTAATAAGAACCCGTTTATTGCAGCTAATTAATGCGGTGAATACACTTGATAGAGATGTTCTCAATCAACTGCACGTCCAGCTCATGGAACTGAGAAGCTGCAAAGGGTATAAACAATGCAATCCAAGAACGCGGAATATGGACCTGGGTAAGTGCCTCTCCTGTTACACTCAAACCTTTTACTTACCATTATCAGTCAAAAGGATTTTAGTATTTATTTATACTATTAATATAGTATTATATAGTATAATATATTAGTATAGTGCCAGCTGAGGCTGATGGCTGGACGCTCAAATTCTTGTATTTGTTCAATTTGTGTTATGTAAAGTTTCTTAAATGAAGAATGATACTTAAATAGTGTAGTGAGGAGTGTTGCTGAGATGCAGGGGAAGGAATAGAAGTGATGAAAGAGGGAAAGAATGCTCCAGTCGCTGCTTGCACATTCATAGACTCATAGGACGATTCAAGTTTGAAGGGACTTCTGGAGTCCCTTTAGTCCAAACTTCTGCTCAGCACGGAGTCAGCTGTGAGGTCAGACCAGGTTACTCAGGGCTTGATCGATCCAGTCCCATCTTGAAAACCTCCGAAGACGCACAACCTCTCTGGGCAACCAGTTTGGCAGTTGAGGTTCAGCGTTCTAACTGAAGGTGCAGTTTTTAGAAACGCTTCTTTAGAGACGGGGCAGTCCATAGGGCAACTGGCTTAAAACTAACTTCAGCTTCACAAAGGACACAAGTGCTTAAGCTGATCAGTTTTCCCCTACCTGTGTTACTGCACGGTAGTTGGGAAAGAACAGCACATCTAAGAAGGATTGCGTTATGCTACTGAAAGAGGTGCTCTTATAACTATGGATTTAATTCCAAAAAGCAAAACGGGCCTTTACTCTTGTTCTAGGTTGATTTCATTGTTTCCTATCCCTTAAATTTTCTCTGGGTTTACTCAATGGATCTCGTTTTTATACCACTCGTGATTTTATTTTTTTTTTAAATGTTTGATAGCAAACCAGAAGGTACAGTTATTTGTATTTCTTCTTTTTAAATTGCATTTCTTATATCCCTTAGTACAATTAAGTTGACATAAGAAACTCTCTTTTTTAAAACTCATAGCCTTTAGAGCTTGAAGACCCCCACCCCAAAAATAAACTGTTATCTACCCGAGTCCCCCAAAGCCCAAAATATTATTTTGCATCTTAGTACCACGCAGCCGTATGTTTTGAAATCAACAGGTTTTGGCATTTAAATACACCACTGAAGGACATTTACAGAAAAGTTTCAAAGATATCTATCCCAATTTACAACCTATTTTACCTAGAATACGGTCTTAAATATGAAAACAATAGCTCCAGTTAACATGTATGGCAATACACGATAATCTGCTAATATTCTTAGGTCTTTTTTTAAATCGCGACTTACCTGATTCTGTTGCAGGCAATGGTTAGTAACTTTGTTAATTTTTCCTCATCTAGGACTTAAAGATGGAAGCTACGAGCAGTACAGGTACATTTTTTTAAAAACAGTTAAATTATTATTCTCAAGTACTACCTCCATGCTAAAGGAGTTAGGAGCGTGGGATTGGGAACCACATGGACAGACACTGCCTGGAATGGTGTTTGCAAGATCTTCCCCTCCCAGTTACTTTGAAACACTGGAGCTATTTCTGTTTCAATGTTACAGCATGTTCTAGTCTTTGTAGTCAAAATTCAGGCTAAACTCTTCTTCTTCCTCATCTTTCAGACTGTAGTGCTGGTGGTTTTCTTGGTGATGGTTAACTTTTTTCTCCTTTTGCTGCTTGAAAATTAGGCAGTTTCAGCGTCGAAAGTGGCCAGATGTGAAGAGACCATCATCTGCCAAGTCACTGTGAGTTGGGAGCAGTTTGCGAAGAGCATTGGGCTTTTACTTAACCTTTATTTCCTTCAGTTCTCCTTTTGCATGCAGCACCTTTTTTAACATCATCGTCTATTCTCATGGAATGCTTAAGTGGGAAGTCCTCTAAATTATGCAAGAAATACGGTACTGCCATCACTACAGACAATTCC